TCACAGCTTGTTAACCCATTCCCCCATGATGGGAATCCTCTCAGTTTCTAATTCTTTGCCACTAAAAAAGAGAGATTACAACTATTTCCTTTCAGTCTATACCTCATCTTCTGAGTAAAAGTCTTCTAAGTTCAATCCCTGATTTGTTCTAAACTTGTTTCAAGAATCCTAATCTGAGAATTCCATTCTCTGTGGTCAGGCCCCTGCTCTACTTCTTGAACTCCACAGATCTTACTGTTGGAGCCATACCACTTAACATGGGCTTATGTCTTGAAAAATTTCTTTGCCATTCACTAACCAACTAGCTCTGTGAGCTGAGCAAGTCTTTTTCTATATCCATTTCCACATGTCTCTCTTCCCTGCCCTCCTCCACAAGAATATAGTAAAAATAAAAAGTAACAATGCCACCTATTTTGAAAACTACAAAGTATCATGTAATATAGTCTATCATTAATGATTATGTAAGTAACAAATACTACTGATAACATTTGAAAGTAATATAAATAAATAACACCATTGATATTATTGTAACAATGTTACTATACTAACAATTATAATATTGATGACATTGTTATATTACTAATATTGACAGTGAATATCATAATCAAGAAAGTCATAACTGTAATAATACAGATCATTAGGACAGTAACATCAGTATTTTGATTTCCTATTCTATTAATAATAAATAGCATTATCAGTTTCCAGGAAGTGTGGCAGAATGGACAGTCTTAAATTTGAGGTTATCTGGATTTACATTCTGGCTCTGACACATATTGGCTGTGTGATGTTGATCAAGTCACATCCTCTCTAAGCCTCAGTCTACAAAATGATCTACAAAATGATAATGTTGGACTAGATCAAGGGTTCTTAACCCTTTTTTTGGTCATAGACTCCTTTGGCAGTACAGTAGGTCAGGGTTGAGAAATGAAAGAGGTCAAAGACTTCTCAGAAGCCTCATATCAGTTATTGTTAATATCTGCAGAAGGTGCTGGATGTGGCTAGTACTGTAAACATGACAAAAAGTAAAACTATGTTATCATCAACAAGTATCACATGTGCTCTATGTGCCAAACACTATACTAAAAAAAGGAAAAAATTAGCTGTCAATCTAGGAATTATTTATGAATTAACTGCCTATGTGAAGTCAGACCAACAACTAGTTAGAGCAATGGTTAAAATAAGTACCAAACTAGAAGAAAAAAATAAAGATAAGAAGAAGAACTTATGGGCAATTAGAACAGCTCAAACCTGACTTACTCAAATAAGCTCTTGATGGTGAAAAAAAAGATTAATGAAAAGACATTAACTTTGTCACCATTTCTTACAAAAGTTTGATCAGTATGTGGCAATAACTATAACAAAGAGCCAAAAGAGCCGAAAAAAAAATACTTCAGCCAATCAACACATGAACTCCTTGCTAAGCAGAAAGACCTGGAAGCCGCTGACATCAGTTTAGAGTTTAAACTAATTTGTAAAAGATTACAAAGGAGGATAGTCAAAGATCACAATCAATGTCACTTCACAAAATAGCAAACAGTGGTGGGAATAAGTGGGAGGAGGAACAAGTCTGCAAAAAAATCAAAATATTTGGCATTGAAGCCATATCATTCAGAGAAAGTTTATCATTAAACCTGGAGGACAACAAATAGATGAAAATGAAACAAATCTACCAGAGTTTCTAAAGCAATCACTTTTGATCATCATTGACAATGAGACCACCATGTTTGGACTCCCCAATGGGCAGAAGTGAAAATGGCACCTCAGAAAATAAAATCACGAAGAGCATCTGTAGCACTACTGTAGTAGTAACTACAATACTGTAGTACTAACAGAAAAAAATCCATCCTGGAGGCAACACAGTTTGAAAGCATTTAGAGATTGTTTTTAAGTTGTCTGAAAGAGGGAAACTTTTCGTGGACTATATTATTACCAAAATAAAGAAAATTGAAAGGTAATCAATAACTATGAAATCATATGACCACATTGTCATCTCTATAAACTCTTTATGAGAATGACTTACACATTCATTGAGGGCAATCTTAATGAAACTATGAGAATAGAACAGGCAGAGTTTTCCCAAAAAAAAGCTTCCTGTAGCAGACTACATGTTCAATCACATGATTAAAAGATACAGGGAGTATAAGATTTTGCTGTAGTTGCTGATTCCATAAAAGCATTTGACTTTGTAGAGCAAAAATGTAGCCTCCAAGAAGGAAACTCTTATGTTTATGTTAAAATCATACATTGAAAGATGCAGTCACAGAACTATAACTTCATTCAGTAATCATTTAGCTACAAATACAAGTGAAGCATAAAACACAGAGACAAATGTTTACCAAAACTATTTACTTCTGTCATAAAAAATGCCCTGAGCAAAGTCCAAAAGAAAGAGGGGGTCTTGGTAAATAATGTGACCCTCCATATGCTTCTCTCTGTAGACAATATTTTAACAATTGCATCAAACCCCAGAATACTACAGAACCTCTTTACAAAGCTTTATGGCTACTAAAAAATTATTGGTCTAGCAATCCACACAGGAAAAACCAAATGGATGAAGAATTCCACACAGTTAGATAAGCAAGCAGTTCATTCAATTATATGTATCTTGTGCTCAGACTTCAGATAAACAATGAACTTGTCTGAGAACTGAATGAAAGGAAAAAGGTAACCTGGATTGTATGAGAAATTGCTCAAACTGCTCCCTCACACAAAAGTAGTGCTTTTTAACACCAACATTCTTCCAGTATGTACATGTGTAAATCATAGAATGCCACAATCTCCAAAGAATCAAAATTATAGTAACCCAATGGCAATGGAGAGAAGCATAGTGCATGTAAGTAGGCTCAGCTTATTGCCAACAATGATTTGGAAGCAAGAAGCAGTCAAAAGATTTCATCCAGGAAATTATGATCAGAAAAGGAGGTGGGGCTGTCTTATAGCAATAGGTAGAGATGACAAGTTGATAATCCACGTGCTGCACTGGTAACCACAAAATGTTAAATGCAGTCAAGACTTCCAGTTCATTGGGTAGATCCTTTATGGAAGATATATCAGAAAGCCTAGGCATAAATGACACAGAATGAGAGGCATGGGTGAATTGCAATCTACTGCATGGGAAGGAGTATCCATATCGATGAGCTCATGGATACATTAAATTATTGAAATATTACAATATTAATGTGTAAGTCTCATCTTCATTAAACATCAGGATCTCATAGGCTAGCAACATGGTGAATGCTCAGAAAATGCATACTAATTGACTTAATCAAAATTAACGAATATGTATTAAGCATCTACTATGTTCAAGGCCTTTGATCAAAGCTGGGGATACAAAGATGAAAAATGACCCAGTTCCCTTCCCTCAAGGAACTTACTGTATAATAAAGAGAATGCAACAGGAACCTATCTATTAATATCAATAATAATATACTTCAAAGACCAGTGATATCATTAGGGTAGATCATTCCTATACAAACACAGGTGTCAATTCCTCCACACCGTGGCGGATAGTGTCCTCAAGTTATGTTTATCTTGAAGATAAAGAATTTATCTTGAAAAACCAACCCCTCTGTGGATAAGCCCCTTGAAAAGGGGAGAAATCAGTAGGGCTTCCCTGATTTCCTGATGTCACTAGAAATCATCTCTTCAGACCTAAGGACCTTTCTAAACAATAGAGAGCTTCATCAGATCTAGGGAGGGAAAAGAATAGAAAGAATGCCATTGCTGAGAGCTAACATAGGTCTACCACCCTCCAAAATATGTAAGGAAAGTTAAAAAAAAAATTAAATTTGCCATCCAAATATTTGGACTACATAGTGCCCAAGCATCTGGGAGGGTTCCAAATATCAGATATCTGTAATGATGCAAATGGGATAGTTAAGTGGTGCAGTGGATAGATCATTAGGACCTAGAGTCAGGAAGACCTGAGTTCACATCCTACCTCAGACACTTCTTAGCTGTGTGACCTAAGCTAGTCACTTAACCTCTAATTTTATTCATGTGTAAAATGGAGATAATAATAGCACCTAAATAAATTCAGGGCACTTTGCATTTATCAAGTGAGATAAATGCAAAGTGCCTTACAAGCCTCAAAAGGTTACAGAAATTCTAACTATTATGAGATCTTACTAAATGTTTTCCTCACATTATATCCATGTCGGGGGAGGAAGGGTGTAAGTAGTATTATCCCCATTTTGCAGATGGAGAAACTGAGGCTCTGAGGTGTTAAGTGACTTGCTGGAGGTCACATTACTAATTGACATTATTAAATGACACTAAATGACTAATTGCATTGACTCAAATCCCAACTGCCTAGATTAATGACTGATTTTTCCCATCCAGGAGAAGAAATTTGTTTGTGGGAGAGTGAGGAGAAAGAAAGGCTTTTGTCTCTTCTCACTCAGGCCTTAACCCGGCCCTTTCCTTCCTCACTTTGCACCGTTTCTCCATCTCTCCATCAAGCAATATATGGGAGAAGTGTCCATGGTACTAAAGGGAATGTTCTCTAGGCCAGAGTCAACCGTGGAGAGAGATGACTACGTAATTTTTGCCCCGAGAAGAAGGAAGTTTGCCTGGGGTAGGAGGAGAAGGGGTACAGAGGGGTCAGAGGGGTCAGATCTTTGGATCGTGGATATTGGATAGTGTTTGCACCGGAAGATGTCTATTAGCAAGGACTGGGGACGAACAGAGTTCAATAATGATGGGGACAGTTTGTGTACATAGCGATGATTTTTGCATGGGAGTGGAAACAGTTTCCACAGGAAGGGGATGTTTTCCGGAGGAACTGTTGGAACAAGGGTGTTTACAGGGGGGACTGCACGGAGGGATATGGGAGAGGGTAGCTTTTTACATTTGGGCGAGGATTGTTTTCAGGTGAGGGGGATTGTTTGCACGGGAGTAGGTGGGGTCCAGAGGAGAGAGCTGCGCCCTAGGGACATAGTTCTTAGCCCCAAGCAGGTTAGGCTGGGGCCAGGGGCCGCGTTGGGGCCGCCACTACTTACTCGTCGAATCCCTTGCACAGCAGATAGAGCGACCGCCAGGCTAACCCGATGGCCACAGACAGAGAGAGCAGGGCAGCGAGCAGAGAGTAGTGGCAGGCAGCAGGAGAGCCCCACTCCTGCACGGTGAAGCGCTGATGTTCCTGCACGGTCAGATTGGTGTTCAGCCACATGCCCTCCGTGAAGAGCAAGCAGCGGCCGTGGAAGTCATGGCAGTTCTCAGTCAGTGGCACCACCACGATGAAGCTAAACAGGAAGGCAAGGAAGTAGCAGGAGCCCTGGGCGAAGACTAATTTGTTTTTCCCCATGGTCAGGCCTGGGCACAGGAGCCCCGAAGGGGAGAGGAGGTGAAGGAGAGAGATGAACAGGAAAGAAAAAAGGGGAGAGAAATGGGGGGAAAGGTAAGAGATAAAGGAAAAGAGAAGGATGTGAGAATTCTGAGCGGCAAGAGAAAAAGACAGGAAGGAACGGAGAAGAAAAGGGAAAAGAGGGGGATGAAAAAGAACAAAGACTGGGAGGAAAAGGTGAAAACAGAAAAAGAAATGCAGGAGGACTGGGAGGAAGAGAGGAGAATGCAGAGGAAGAAGAGGAGGTGGGGCAGTGGGCAAGTGAAGAGCTGGGAATCCGCAAAGGAGGGCGGTAGGTTCTCACCGCTGGTGCAGGATCTGGGGCTGGGACTGCAGTCTAGGCGTGGGGGAGCGGAGGAGGATGCGCAGTGGGATCTTGTCCAGGCCACGGCCTCCTCCCCCAGGCCCCTTCTGGCTGGCTTCCCACCATACATCAGGCGCTTGCGCACTCTGCTTATATTGCGGCGTTTTCAGGACGCTGGACAGCTCCTAGAGGGGAGTACGTCCTTTGGCCCTGGTGGTGGAGGAATGAGAAAGTGGGAAGTCAGGGATCTAGGGATGAAGGATTATGGGTGGAGGTGAAGTCAGAAGTTCAAATTCTTAGTCCAGTTTATCATCATTAGATTCTAGTAAATTAGACTTGAGGATAAGTAATGGGGGTGATGGATGAAAATAGGACCTCCTCCTCCACACTACCTCAAAGACTGACCAGGGTAGCCAGATCTCAGACTTCACTATCAACTCAAAATTACACCTGCAAGATTACAAATTCCAAATTACCCCACTATGACCACAGTCTCCTATTCTTCCAGTTCTCCTTCTTCCTTAATCTTCTCCTGTCCTTTGCCCTCATCTCATTCAGTCCCGTCCCAATCAGTCAACCATGTTCTAAACTCATTTTCCTCTTACCCAGGCTTAACCATGTGGTCAGCCACTTCAATAATCCTAACCCTGAATCTTTTGGACCTTAGTCCTTCCACCACTTAACCCTTTGCTAACCTTCAACCCTTATTACTTATTACCATCCAACTCCTCTCATACTCCTCCTCAGCCATCTAATGCTATGGGGAGGGGGGACAGGAAATCGTTGACTGGACCTATTATAAGTTCATGCCATTTAACCTCAGCTAGGACCTGTGAAGCTCAGTGATCTTTTTATTCACTTCTGAATGAATTCCTTTCATACTCAAAACACTTGCTGTTCTAAATCTTCTCTCTTCTCAAACCCCCAACCCAACCCCTATTCTCTTTCTCATAGCAAATGGCCATATGTCTAACTTTAATGAGAAAATTAAGACTATCTGTTGTAAACTCTCATGTCTCTTATCCTCCATTACTCTATACCTCAATGTCCTCACCCATTCTCTTCTTCCTTTTGGCCTTAAAAATTCTCCTTGCTAAAGCCAACATCTTTTAGCCAACAAGAAATGGCTAAGGAAGAATCACAGAATCAATGTTCAAAATAATCTTCAAGTGTTTGATGGGAAGAGATGGAAGAAATTATAGAATCATACTCTCATAACATTCACAAAACCTAGACTCTCTGAGCTGAAAGGGACCTAAGACAGCATCTAGGAAAAGTCATGCCATAGAGTATCGGCCCTGGAGTCAGGAGGACCTGAGTTCAAATCTGACCTCAGACACTCAACACTTACTATAGCTATGTGACCCTGGGCAAGTCACTTAACCCCAACTGCCAAAAAAAAGAAAAGAAAAGAAAGGAAAAGTCATGCTGAACCAGAAGAAGCCTCTAAAATCTCATTATGTTCCTCTGGCCACTGCCTCCATCAAGGACTTCCTGCTTCTCTTTTGGACAACTCAAGGACTAAAGAAATACAGGATATTAGGATTTATATATGACAGGAACCTTAGAAACCATATAATCTGATCAGTCCTCTCATTTTTTAAATTAAAAAATTAATTATTTTACAAGCATTTGTTTTCTCTTCCTCCCACCTTCCTCTATTGAACAATTTCTTTTTAAAACCTTCACAAAAAAGATGCATAGCCCAGCAAAGCAAATTTTCACATTGGACATGTCAAAAAATATGTCTTATTCTGCATTTTAGGTCCATGACCTCTTTCTCACAGGAAGTGTATTAATGTGCTTAAACTTCAGTCCTCTGAAACCATGGTTTGCATTGCATTGCATTGCATTGATGAGAGCTCTAAAGTTCTTCAAATTATTTTTTCATTATAATGGTATTATTGCATAAATTGTTCTCCTAGTTCTGTTCACTTCATTCACTCTTTTACCCATTTAGACAGAAATCTTTAGTTTCCTCTGAAACTGTCCATTTTGGCATTTCTTATGCTATTCATATAACATAATTTGCTTAGTCATTCCCCAAGAGGTGGGCACCCCCTTAGTTTACAGTTTTTGCTACTATAAAAAGAGCTGTTATAACTGAATGAATGAAAGATTCATTCATTTTTTGTATAAATGGCTCCTTTTCCTCTTTCTTTGATCTCTTTAATTAGTTTTTGTAATTGTTAGGAAGTTTTTGCTTATATCAAACCCAAATCTGTGTCTTTGTAATTTCCACCCATTGTTCCTAGTTCCACACTCTTGGACCAAGAAGAATAAGTTTAATCCTTCTTCCATGAAGCAACCCTTCTAATACTTAGAAATAATGATCATGTTCTTCTCCACCCACTATCCCCACCTGCCAGTCTTCTCCTCCCAAGTACATCTCATTTCCCTTAGATAGCATAGTCAGTAGGCTTAATATCACTTTGATCTCCCTCCAGTCATGGATTTAAAGCTAGAATGGACTTCAGGAATTATCTAGTCCAGGGATGGGGAACCTGCAACCTGAAGGCCACACATGGCCTTCTAGGTCCTTGGGGGCAGTCTTTTGACTGAGCCCAAGTTTTACAGAACAAGTCCTTTTATTAAGGGGATTTGTTCTGTGAAGTTTGGATTCAAAGGGTCATACTTGAGGACCTAGAGTACCACATGTGGCCTCAAGGTCACAGGCTCCCCACCCCTGATCTAGTCCTTTATTTTGGAGTTGAAAAAACTGAGGGCCAGGGAAGTTAAGTGATATGCCCAGGGCAGTTTCAGGACTAGGATTTGAACCAAGGTGCTTTAGCTCCCAATCCAATGCTCTGCATCACCCTGAATGTGTCCCAGTTTATCATTTGCCCATTCATTGAGCTGAGTCTGAAAAAAATAGGCAGAATTTTGACCAGCAAAGATAGGGTCAAGGGGACCGCTACAGTAAGGCTGAAGAGTGTGAGCAAAGGATTATGAAGATTTCAAGGAGATGGAGTTTACAGTAAAAAAAAAAAAAAACCATAGTCACTGTCCTCAGAGAGCATACATTCTATTAAGGGAGACAACAGGTGAAAAAATTAACACATAAGCTATATACAATATAAATGAAAGGTAATTTCAAATGAAAGGCACTAGCAGAGTGTTGGGTAGAGGAGAAGGGATATAGAAAGGCCTCTTTCAGCAGGTGGGATTTGAATTCATCCAATCAGTTTCATGTAACAGTGAAAAATACAGAAGAGAAGTAATAAGGGCAAGAATCATAACCCTGTTTGACACCTCACTTCTATAAAGAAATTAGCTAAGTTCACAAAGGTTGGCTACCAAACAATGAATTCTTTTGGTGATAACTGCACATAAAGACCATTTAACATAGCATTTAGGAGTTGGACTCTGTGTTAGGGGAGGAAAGATTCATTCATTCATAGACTTTTTGAAGTTGAAAAATATGATCATTGAGGAACCTGATGCTCAGAGAAAGGAAATATTTTGCAAGTTATGGACAGAACCAGGCCTGACTTTCAGTTGCACTCATCCCATAGACTCTCCAGTGTGAGCCAAAACAACACATCTAGGAGGCAGGTAAGATCCAGCACCAGGCTATAGGTTCAAGACTCAGAATGGATAGCTTTACCTTAAGAGTGATGGTAGCTCTCCTAGCCCTTAAGGAAGGAAGTCCAGATGCTTGCTCCTCAGGCCCCCACCAGCCTAGGTCAGGGCTCAAATTCAGAGACCTCAGGGGCACTCACAGCAGAAACGGCTGTACAAATAGAATCCCACTTGCTTTTGAGGAGAGGACATGATGATGAGCCCCCATCCCAGGTGTGGGTTGTCTCTTCTTTAAGAGAGAAATTGTACATCTATACACAGCAAGACAGACACTAAAAAGAGATCTATTAACAGCTCCTTCTTCAGGGGACAATTACAGGGCACCAGATTTGCACATATGGGCAAATACTTGCAAGGTTCCCTGAAAAAATACAATTTGCTCTTTCACTGAATGTAAATGAACTATTAATTACTCTTTGCAAACAATATTTATGTAAATGAGCCCAACATCCTGCACAGCCTGTGGATTCCCATTTGTGTTTGTATCCTTTTTATCATCCCTTGCAGCTGTAGTGAACAGGCCTCTCCCCTAGGCCAGCTTCCTTCTCCCATCTCCCTGCGCCTTGTTCCATATGCCTTTCCTCCCTGCGGGTGCAGTTCTGCCGCCTCATCTCAGCCTGGATAGAGCAGGCAGCAAGGGGGCAACATATGATATCCCAGATCTCTTATTTCTTCTGTCCTTGAGCCCCAAACTCACTAGTGTGCCTTGTCATCGACTACCTCCTTGCCTTTAATTATGATGTCGCCACACCTAAAATACAATCCTTCCCTTTCTTGGACTTTTGAATGACTGCCACTCTTTCAAAGCCCTGCTTAAAGTTCCAGTGTCACAGTGTCTTAGGCTAAGTATACCCTGGCTCTAAATGCAAGTTCAAGATCTGAAGATATTGATTCAATAATACAGACAATAAATAGACAGACAGACAGACAGACAGATAGATAGATAGATAGATGAGCAAATGAATAAATAAATAAATGGATGAATGGATGGATAAATAAATATATATGTATGTATGTATCTGTGCATGTTACTACATACAAAATTCAGCAATGAGATACAAAAAAAGACATTCAA